GTGGCAGACTTCACCCAAGAGCTATGGAAGCTGGTTGGCGTCTCCCCTGCCACGTCCACCGCTTACCACCCGCAGACTGATGGCCAGACCAAACGGGTCAACCAGGAGTTGGAGCAGTACCTCCGGATCTTCACCAGCTACAAGCAGGACGACTGGGATGAGCTCTTGCCCGCAGCTGAGTTCGCTTACAACAACCACGTCCACTCCTCGACCCAGCAGGTTCCCTTCATGACAGACACAGGACGTTTACCACGCATGGGATTCGAGCCAACAGAGCAGCGCTCCACCCGAGCAGAGTCTGCCAACGAGTTTCTTGACCGAGTCGCATCGGGTGTAACGGAGGCTAAATCAGCACTGGTCAAAGCAAAGGACAAGTACAAGAGGTACTATGACCGACGAAGGACTACCGCTCCCGACATCAAGGTTGGCAGCCGAGTCTGGCTCGATGCCTCGGACATCACGACAACGCGACCCTCTCGCAGCCTCTCCCACCGACACCTGGGCCCCTTCAAAGTCACCCAAGTCGTGGGCCGGGGCGCATACAAACTCGCCCTCCCCACCAGCCTCTCTCGCCTCCACCCAGTCTTCCCTGTGGTCAAGCTCCAGTTGGCCAAAGACGACCCGTTCCCCACTCGCCCGCGTCACGAGGAACCACCCCCTGTCCTAGGACAAGGCGAAGGGGAGGAGTGGGAAGTGGAGGAGATCCTAGACGCGAAGATGCGCTACCAGAGTGTCTGGTTCCGAGTACGATGGAAGGGCTACGACCCGTCTCATGACCAGTGGGTCAAGCACTCAGATGTTTTTGCTGACGACGCAGTAGCAGCGTTCTACCGCAGATACCCGGGGAAGCCACGCATTATTGCAGCGGCCGTATTCGACTCGCTACCCTTCAGGAACTCATCGACCCCTAACCGTACCTTGCGTCGAGGCGCCGCAATCAGGAGGGGGGGTGATGTCAGGGGAACCCCTGCTTTCGTCCGATCATCATGGGATCTCGCATGTGACCGCGCACATGCTATCTGTCAAGCGTCACATGCTTCGGTCCGGACTCCCCTGCCAAGCGCGTCCACATGACACTCCGGCCCGGACCCCCATTGTTCCGACGGTCCGGCTCCCATTGTTCCCCCCGATCCGGCCCCTCATTGTTCCCTGGCCCCATTGTCTGGCGCTTCCATTGTGCTTGGTCATCCATTGTTCTGTAGGCTATATATAGTGGGCCCTGACAAGGAGAGTCCCCAACTCGGTTTCTCTTTGGACTCTCCCTTGTCAGGTTTGCCAGTCTCCTGTACTAGTCGATCCCCTTATCTGACACTTTGGACTCTCCCTTGTCAGGACTCTGAGATCGGGCCTCGAGGTTGCCCTTACATCATGCCCAACATCCGATTTGTCTCCTTCATGAAGCGCTTGATGTATTGTGAGTCCCTGTTGGTGATGATCTTGCAAGGGATCCCGTGATAGTGGAAGACTCGGTCCCTGGTTAACTGTGCTACTCCTTTGCTGCTGATGCAGTACTGATGGGTTCAACATAGATCATTTTGGTGAGGGTGTCACACCACACATGAATTGGGTCATACCCGTTACTGACTGACAAGGGTCCAATTTGATCCATTGAGATGATTTCCCACAGCGTGTTTGGAACTGCATGTGGGTGCAGAGTCCCTGTCCTTGCCCTCCTGGTCTTGGTTTGTTGGCATGCCTTGCACGTCTGGATGTATTTCCGAATTTGGTTTCCCATCCTTGGCCACCAGTAGTTTCTTTCCACCATTTCCTGCATTTGGTTGATCCCCATGTGTCCGACCAAAGGCGTGTCATGGTATAGCCCAATGATCTTGTCCTGAAACTTCTTGTCCCTTGGTACATAGAGCTTCCCATGATACATGATGAGCCCATCTTCCTTTTTCCATCCAACGAGTGACTTCTCTAAGGCCGCCTTGACACTTCCATCAATTGATTGAATGGCCTGGATCTCATTGATCAGCTGCTGATCTTGCCCTTCAAATGTGACTTCTTGCAATCGGAAGAACTCGGGCTTCAGCAGGGTGACATCCTTGTTGTCATTCTTGCCCTGGTCATGATCCGCTTGTCAAGATAAGAGATCCGCCTTGCAGTTGAGTGCACTGGGCTGGTGTCATAAGGTGAAAATGAACTCCGCCAACTCCGTGATCCATCGTGCTTGCCGTCGGTTGAGCTCCTGCGGCTTCCCAAAGTACTCGAGATTTTGATGATCAGTGAAGATCTCAAACGTTTCCATGGCTCCCAGGAGTAACTGCCTCCATTTGTCCAATGATAGCATGATTGCAAGCATTTCCTTGTCATAGATCTCATAATTTTGCTTGGTTTTGGTCAATGCATGTGAAATAAACGCAATTGGGTGCCAAATGCTGTCCTGGTTCTGGCTCAAAACAGATCCTGTTGCCCCTTCCAAAGCATCAGCTTCCAGACAATATTGGCCAGTGTCATTTGGCAGTGCTAAGACCGCATCCTCTGCAACTGCCTTCCCTGTCAGCCACATCAACAGCTTGGCAACCTCTGCATATCCCCAAACAAAGCGCCGATAGAAGTTGGTGAACCCCAGGAATGCTTGGACTTGTTTGACGCTCTTTGGTTCAGGCCATTCCATCATATTCAATTTCCATGCGTTCAAACTCGCACTTTTTGGGTTTCAGGTACAACTTGTGTTTTTGGAGCAATTTGAGTACTTGTTTTGTGATCCGCCGATGATCGTCCAAGTTTTCTGTGAAGATTAATATATCATCAAGATAAACTACCACATGACTCTTGTTGATCAGTTCCCAGAGTATGTCATTCATCATGTTTTGAAAAGTTGCTGGGGAATTTGCGAGACCAAAGAACATAACCAAGGGCTCATACAGCCCGCGGTTTGTATGGAACGCAGCCTTCCACTCGTCACCCTCTTTGATTCATACATTGTTGTATCCCCACTGGATGTCTAACTTTGTGAAGAACTTGGCGCCACATAGATTGTGAACCAGTTCGGAGATCAGTGGCAGTAGGTATTGATTTCAGATCGTCATCTCGTTCAACTTCCAATAATCTTGGACGGGACATAGCAAGCCATCCTTCTTCTTGACAAAGAAGAACACTGATGTCATGGGTGATTTTGATTGGCCTGATCCATCTGCTGGCTAGGTTCTCTTGTAAGAACTCATCAAGTTTGACCTGCTTGTTTTGCGATTTCAGGTACACCTTGCAGTCCACTGCTTTGGAACCAGGTTTGAGCTCAATTGCATGATCCCATGCTCGTTGGTCTAGCAGCAAGTCACACAATTCCTTGGCAAATACTTTGACAAATTCCCAGTATTGATCCGGAATCTTCCCCTTGGCCATTCTTTCCTTCTCTCTTTCCACTTCTTCTGCGAATTTCTGTGCCAGTGTTTCCTTCAGCCGTAGATCCACTTCCTTCCCAAAGTCAACCAACAGGATTGATTCTCCCTCTTCCAGATCTGGTGCACCTGTGTCGAGGTCAATTGCATCCATGTCAATCATTGCCTGGTGCTCCTTGTGACCCCTCATGTGACATCGCTCTGGGCATTGGCTGAATCTCATTGTCTGCTCCTGCCAATCCACCTCAGGGTTGTGTTCTGTCAACCAATCAAGACCAATGAAGATCCAAGCTTTCCCTAGACACGTCAGAAGGAATGTGCATGTTTCCACATGAGGACCAATTCTCATCCTCAAGTCAACGTAATGCATGATCCGACCGCTGATGTTCTCAGTGTTGTGGGCATTACGGGCTACGATGGGTTGTGGAAGCTCTTGGATGTCCAATCACTCTGCTCGTGCGTAGTTGGTATCAATGCAGCAGGTACTGCAACCACTATCAAGCAGTGCCTTGACTCCGCGCATTTTTCCTGAGTCCAGGTCCGTGATCTGGACATATACGTCCATTGAATGCCTCTTTCTTTTGGCCTGGTAGCTGCACAATTCCTGCGCCAATCTGCTGGGCTGGGGGCCCTTCTGTTTCTTGGCCGCCAATTTCCTCTGGACAGCATCTGGCACCCTGGTGTGTTTGGGTGCTTCTGGAACCTTGATTTCAGCAGATTCCTTAGGCACTTCCTCCTTTTCCAAGGATCAAGCCTCTGGAGCAATGCTCCCCTTTTCAGTCTTTGTTGATATGGTTCCTTCTCCACAAGCCATAAATATGTAGGAGTCCAAAAATAATTTATCTACAGTCTTCTGATCCTTTTTACTCTGTAAATACTCTCTATTTAAAGCTATTTTTTCTTTGCGTTCTTTTTCCATCTTGGCAACAAGAAACTCGTGAATGTTAGTATGTAGTGAGTCCGGAAGCATGTATGTATAATGAGGCATATTGTTTGTATCCTTAATCAAAACAAGTACAGAAAAACGTCCATAGTCTGGACGCTCCACCTCCTTGGCTAGAGGAGTGGAGCACTTCAAAAACCCTTCTTGCACAGCTTCTCGGTGATCTCCTTGAGGAACTTGTTGTCCTTGTCCCCGTTCTTGATCTCATCAAGCATTGTGGCCTGATTGAAAAATGTGCACTTCTTCCTTGGCTCCAGACAGTTTTGCGCAATGTGTCCGGGCTGCTGACAGTTGTAGCAGATGATATTGCAGCCGCAGGCATGGGTGCAATTGATTTCCATCAGAACCGGTTTGTTGGTAGCGGGTCGGGCCGGAGTGGGTGCAGGCGTTGCTGGGGCAGCCTGAGGGTAGAATTGGGGAGGTGGTCATGGCGTGGAGTGCCCATACAATGCTTTGCGTAGCTGGTTGCGCAGAGCGTTTGCCTCGATGTTAACACACCAGTCCTTGAAGGCTCCATACACTTTGGGCAGGGGGACGCTGGTGTTGTAAAGGCGGCCGGCAATTTTGCTGCTGAGCCCGCGCTTGAGGAACTCAATCAGAATATTGTCCTGATCCCCTTTCTTGTATTTGCCCTTGTTGTCAGTGGTGGTGACCACATTGTATCCCACGTCTGCTGCCAACATCTCGAAGTCAGAGATATAATCTGCAAAGGATCATTTGTTCTGGCGCAGAGCCATGAGTTGAGCGGCAGCAACTTGTTCCACGTTGGTATCCCCAAAGGCCCTCTGAAGCTCCTCCATGAAGGTCGTTGAGGTGACCCTGGCCTTCATCCCCTTAAGGCCTTCGAAGTTGTGCTGTTTCCAATTCATTGTCCATCTTGAGGCGGCGCAGCTTGTGCCAGCCTTGTTGTGGAGGTAGGAGAGGATGAAGAGGATTTTTGTCTCATCCAGTGAGAATTCCGACCAATAGGCACCAATGTAGGTGGTGCACAAGTCCACAAAGCCCATATATTTGGACTTGTCCCCATCAAAATAGGGGGGGCTGGCAGCGAGGGTGATGCGGTGATGTCCTGACATGGTATGAGCAGGTGTGGTAGGTGGGGGTGAAGGTGGTTGTTTGAAAGGTAACTTGTCGAGGTCAGGAATCTTGTCTTCAGGTGGTGGGAGGGCGAGGTAGGGATTGGAGGGTCCGGGTTGGTTTTGGTGTGCCAGATCAAGTGACAATGGTACAATGGGGGGAGGAGACAGACTCTCGGACGACGATGGGAATTGATACAAAATAGTGGATTTGTGTGCTGTACAAGCACTTGAGGAAAGGTTCTTTTGCTAGCAAAAAGATCCCGGGCCTAGCTCCTCACGTGCCCAATGATCCTGATGTGCATTTTCCCGAAGGTCTCCGCAGCACTCCTTGTAGCTACCGTAAGGCTTGGGTCGGGCTCAACGTTACCCATAGCCTGGTGCTGTTTGCTCAACATGAACCCTTCACTGCAATCGCAGGGAACAACCAAATGATTTGATAAAAAGGTGAGTTGGTTGATAAGGGTGTAGAGGATATAGCGGGCATAGCGGCAGGGATGCAGTGGTAAGAGGTATGAGGTAGGAGAGAATAAGAGGAGTCTTTGAATTATGTGACAATCAACAACAAATAATGTTGAAAAGAGAAGTGAATTTGAAGACTGGAGAATACCACCAAGTAGCTACAGTATTTATACCCAAATCCAGTCTGAGTCATATCTACAACTAATGAGTCATAAGGCTATGTACCGCATGGAGCACTGGTCATGGGTTGTAGTAGAACCTTCCAGAGCATATGTTGCGCAGCCTTGAATCAATAAAGATAATCCCCCAGACTCCTGGCCCAAACCGTCAGATGCTGTGATCCGCAATAAGATAATCTGTGCTAAGATAAGATAAGATCATTGATGATAAGATGAAAAAAGGGCTGAACTATGATGGCTACTGTAATCCATGATAAGATAACCCAATGTCAAGATGAGATGATAGATCAATAAAATGAGGTGAAAATGATTGAACTATGACACATCTTGCTTATAGAGTTTGTTTCCTACAAGCTTGCCATTAGCACCTTTATCATTACTGTTCCCAACTTCAACAACCTGAAGAGCCTAATCATAAAGAAGATGCTGCTCCATATCAAAGAAAGCAGCAACCCCAATGAGATATTTCAGCTAGCTGGCTTAGGTGTTGACTATATCAAGGACTTGAACTAAAATGTGGTGAAGAATAAGACCCAGGCACAGACAAAGGTAGCAAAGAAGAAGAAGAAAAAGGAGAAAAAGAGAGCAAAGAAGAAGACAAAGGATAAAAAGGTAAAGAAGTTAATACAAGTCATGACTAGAAAGCACAAGTGCAATCCCAATAAGGAGGAGTCAGCCAATTTCAAGGATTTGAAGAAGCTAAATGTCAAGCAATATGCAGACATTGTGTAGGCATCTTAAATTTATTGATCTCATACTGTGACTGTTGACGGACTGGCCTATCTATCCGACAAGTCCTGACGTGTGGCAGTGCATGTCAATCAGCAATCAGTGGGCGCACGCTTCGCACACAACTGAGGGTCTCCTCAATATTCCTCAGCCCTGGCTATTCACTGGTTTGTCCAGCCCTGCATATATTTTTGATATTCACATCCCTGGACTGCTGTCTGCACATTTATCTCCACACCCCTGCCTTTCTTACTTCACCATCCACCTGTACCTGTTTTTCCCCTCTCACTTCCCTGGTTCCTCTGTTCACCGTCCCTTGCTCCATCCTGTCGATCTTTCACTCACTCTGATGATTATTCCTTTGTCTCACATACAAAAGCTTGTAGTTGGACTAAAGAAAAACAGATTTATTCTCCTCATAGTCTTGAGTTCAGTTCTCGTCTTCAGCTCATTTCTACTTGGGTATTTCGACCCCCTGCTTTGTCGCATCCGTCCCACGCCGCCCTCGACTTCGTCCCACGTCTAAAATCATCATTTCTTACTGCCTGCCACGGCACTGAATCTTGTGGACCTCCTCGCACATCACACTTATTCCTGCACTGTTTTAGGTCGTAGCTGACCCCCATTTTGTGTTAGCTCGCGCCTATTCCGTCCGCAGGCACGTCATTTTGGAGCCCACCGCGAGGGGATTTCAACATAGATTCTGGTGCCTCTCGCAGTCTGCGACACAACAATCATTCTGAGCTACGTCGCACGCTCCGTGAAGAGCTAGCTGTTGCTCTCAACGACCCCACAACTCTCTCTTTCGACGACGAACACTTCTTTGACATTGTCCCCAGCGCCCTTGCACAACACAACAACCTCTCACCGCATTCCCCGAGCTCTCCAACGCTATCCTGGCTCTTTGATTCGCCTCCAACAACGCGTTCACCATCCCCCCTTCACAACACGAATATTCCTTCTCAAAATATGGCTACTCCCACTCCCATGCCAGCCAGAGGCGATCAAAACGCCCCAGTCTTTGATTCGTCCAAGCCCCACGAGTTGCGCCGTTATTTCCTCGATCTGGAGTTCCTTCTAGCTCGATCTGCCGTCACTGACGCTGCCCAAATGAAGGGGCATGCGGTCAGATTCCTTTCCGTCGAAGATCAGGAGATTTGGGAAGGTCTACCGTCGTTCTCAGACGCCAACAAATCGTACCACGACTTCAAATTGGACGCCCTCAGCCTCTACGCAGGGAACGACACAGATCGTCGTTTCAGCCTCGACGATTTGGACATGCTCGTTGGGCAGACATCTCGCATGGGAATCCACACAAAGGACGACCTCACACAATTTTATCGACGATTCCTACACATCACAACATTCCTGATTAGCAAACAACGACTCTCTGTGGCAGAACAGAGCCGATTTTTCCTTCGAGCTATGAATCCAGCCTCGTTGTCCGTCTCAGTTCGCCAGAGACTTCAGATCAAGAAGCCAGACGTTCACCCTGAGGATCCATATGATTTGTCAGATCTGTACGACGCTGCTAAATTCGTCCTTTCAGGATCATCGACCTTACTTCCTGGAATGCCCACGTCTCAGCCCGGAACCGAGCTCACAATCAAATCAGACCCTGGAATTACTGCACTAGTTTCATCCGTCTCAGATCTAGTTCGAATAATTGCTGCTCAACACGCCAATCCTGGTGCCCCAGCACAATCACAGTCCGCCAACGCCCTGCCCCGCCGTCGCCGTCCTGATGGCTGCAGTTATTGCAGTGATCTCGAGCATTTTATCAGCCAATGTCCCCACGTTTCGACGGATATTCGAGACGGAAAATGCCGCCGCAATGTGGATGGGAAAGTCGTCCTCCCCTCAGGCGCATATGTGCCAAATATTGTCCAAGGAAAGGATCTTCGAGAGCGCATTCAGAAGTGGCATGAAGCGAACCCAGGTCAGGCAGCAGCTCCGCAGATGATTTTGGAAGTTTCTCACCAGAATTTGCTGTCTTCTGCGGCGCCTGGGCTCGTTCAAACGTTCAAACTCACGGACGAAGAACGAATGGCAGTTCTGACGGCTGAAATTAATCAACTACGCACACGGGCCCAAGCTAAACGCGCTATGGAAGTTGCTAATCAACCAGAAGTCCCTGAACGCACTATTCCACCGGCGGTAGCGCGAAATCCAGTCGTTCCACCTGTTCCAATCGAAACCGTCCCTCCTGCGACCGCCCCTGCTGCTCCAGTTGCCCCGCCTCAACCCCCAATCCATCCGTACGCCGCAGCTCGTGATGGCGCTTACGCACCGCCCAAAGAACGAAATGTTGGGATTCCAGCGCAGAAATCACAACCCCCACGCTCTTCGGCTCCGATCTACAACCCCAAAGATGCTGCAGCTGTTTTCGACGCCATTTTGGACATCCCTGTCACCCAGACGCTTCACCAGACCCTGTCGATTGCCCCAGAAGTCCGTGCTCAATTCCGCAAAGCCACTAGTTTCCGTCGTCCCCCTGCCAAGACTGGCGAGGCAGTGCCTCAATTCCTGCATCCTGTCACTGATAGCACGCCCTACGACCTTCCATATGCTCAGGACGACTCAGATTTGGTCGAAAAAGTGCTTCAGCAGCAACGAAACGAAGATGCACGCCTTGCTTTGGCTGCGGGGCATTTTCCAGTCGCCTACAGCCAGACGTTGCCCCCAGACGCTTGGGTGGTCCCAGATAAATTCGCCGTCTACTACGATCAGACTGGAAGGTTGCCAGACAATCTAGTTGTGGCTGCCGAGTCCCTGGCCATCCGCTCGATCCTCCCAGTGATTGACAACCAGCAACAAGTGGAATGCATCGTCGACAGTGGTTCTCAGATTATTTCGATGTCCCAGGCAACCTGTCACGAGTTGGGACTTGCGTATGACCCTCGAATCGTTCTACAAATGCAATCTGCCAATGGAACAATCACACCGTCGCTTGGACTAGCCCGAAACGTCCCGGTTCGCATTGGGGACATCACATTGTACCTACAGATGCACATTCTGCGTGACGCTGCCTACGACGTGCTCCTGGGACGACCATTTGACGTTCTGACGGAAAGCGTCATTCGAAACTTTTCCAACACGGATCAAACACTCACAATCACCGATCCCAACACTGGAAAGACGGCTACTGTGCCTACTGTGCCCCGCGGATCTCCCCGTGCCCGTTCAGAGGGTTTTCGCAGCTCGAGGATTTGATTCCTGATCAAGGAGAGTACGCCTTTGTGATCGAGGCCAGCCCAGATCAACCAGAACGCTACGTATTTTCGTCCTATGCCCCCATTTCTCTCACAGACTCTCTTGCGCACATACAACATACTTATCTCTCTGCCTGTAGCAATTTATCCGCACACAGTTCGACTATTTCTCTTGCACATACAGTCGTTCAACCGGCGTTTTCCTCAGCGACCCAGGATTCAACTCCTGGTTCAAAATTCGTTCCCATATTTTCTTTGAACTCGTCTCGTACCTATCCTGCTGCTACGTCTCCTTCATCTCAATTCTACCCGTCCACGTCACAATTTGCTAACAAAAAGTACAAGCCAGTGGCCAGGAAAATTCGGCCTGTTCTTGGATCTGTCCCAGACGAATTCCGCATCGAGCGCCAGATCCTGGGCGACCCACTCGCAGATCTACCATATCTGGATCCTATTCCGCCTCCTTTTGTGCCGACTGGACGCTACACCGCCGAACGCAAGGCTGCTCTTGACGACGCACACTGCGGTGACTTCCTGTGGCCTGCTGAGAGAGATTTAATGCACCAGTTCATGTGCCTTCACCAAGGAGCCTCTGCATGGCAAGAATCAGAACGAGGACGTTTTCGAACCGATTTCTTTCCCCCTGTCAATATCCCAGTCATGCCGCACACACCGTGGGTCCAGCGCAATATCCCCATTCCCCCTGGGATCTACGATCAAGTCTGCGACCTCATACGCTCGAAAATCGCTGCTGGAGTGTACGAACCGTCCAATTCATCCTATCGATCCCGTTGGTTCTGTGTGGTGAAGAAAGATGGCACCAGCCTTCGTTTGGTTCATTCCCTGGAGCCACTCAACGCCGTCACAATTCAGCACTCAGGCGTCACGCCGTTCACTGAGCAGCTGGCTGAGCATTTTGCAGGACGAGCCTGTGGTGCCATGCTGGATTTATATGTTGGATATGACGAACGGTTGCTTGCGCCAGCCTCCCGCGACTATACAACGTTCCAGACGCCCTATGGAGCTCTCAGACTTGTTACCCTGCCCATGGGATGGACGAATTCAGTCCCCATCTTCCACGACGACGTCACCTACATCCTCCAGCCCGAAATCCCGGAATTTACTTGGCCATACATCGACGACGTCCCGGGCCGTGGCCCCAAATCGAGATATCAGCTAGAAGATGGATCATTTGAGACGATCCCTGAGAATCCAGGGATTCGCCGGTTCGTTTGGGAACATTTTGGAAATCTGAATCGAATCGTTCAGAGGATGAAGTACTGCGGAGGGACATTCTCTGGCCTCAAGCTCACACTCTGCGCCGAAACCATCACAGTTGTTGGACATGTCTGCACACCGGCTGGACAAATCCCTGATGAGAAGAGAGTCGACAAAATCGCAAATTGGGGACCCTGCAAGACGCTCTCAGAAGTCCGTGCATTTCTGGGCACCATAGGAGTCTGCCGTGCATTTATTTCGAATTTTGCGCATCGTGCCCACGCCCTGACACTTCTAACACGAAAGGATATGCCATTCCACTTCGGTACTGCACAGATCGCTGCCCAAGACGACCTGAAGCACGCATTATTGAGCTGCCCTGCGCTCCGGCCAATCGACTATTCATCTGGGGACCCAGTTATCTTATCCGTGGACACCTCTCAGATCGCCGTTGGTTTCCTGCTTGCCCAGTGCGATCCAAACACTCCCAGTCGACGTTTCTATGCCCGGTTTGGCTCAATCACGCTTAACGATCGAGAAGCTCGATTTTCACAGCCCAAGCTAGAGCTGTATGGATTATTCCGCGCCCTCCGTTCATGGAAGCTCCACCTGATCGGTCTACGAAATCTAGTGGTTGAAGTCGATGCTAGGTACATCAAGGGTATGCTACGGAACCCCAATCTTTCGCCCTCGGCCAGTATCAATCGCTGGATCCTGGCGATCCTAACGTTCCATTTCGAGCTAGTACACGTCCCTGGCGTCAAACACGGCCCGGATGGATTGTCCAGACGACCCGCACAGCCTGGAGACGAGTTAGAGCATGAGGACGACGGTTTTGATGACTGGATCGACGAGGTGCACGGTTTTATGCACATAATCAATGACTTACCCTTCGTTTCACGACGCCAATCCACGATCCACTCATTTTCCGCCGAAATTGCACCCACCGAGTCCACAACACCGCCTACACTGAGCTGCGATCAGGTACCTCGCTCAGAAGCAGCTCGACTCGCCGATCATCGTGTAGATCTGGTTCAGGGATGGCTTGAGACGCTACGACGCCCACGGGACATGTCTGAACAGCAATATCAGGCATTTATTCGGTTTAGCATGGAATTCTACCTCGAAAATCGAAAGCTTTGGCGCAAGGACTCACACGGACGCCACAAGCTAGTCGTTCCCTCCCACCGTCGAATATTCATCCTGCGATCTGCCCACGACGACGTTGGTCACAAGGGATTCCACGCAACGAAGGCTTTACTCACGGAACGATTCTGGTGGCCATTCCTTGCACACAACGTCACCTGGTACCTACGCACCTGCCACCTATGTCAGATTCGACAGACAAAGAAGCTCCTTATCCCCCCTACCGTCGCGGTCCCGGCCCCACTGTTTTCGAAAATTCATATGGACACTATGCACATGCCGCCAAGCGCTGGATTCCGCTACATTGTGCAAGGACAATGCTCGATTTCGCTTTTTCCTGAGTTCCGCATGCTGCGCCATGAGACAGCGACCACCCTGGGCGAATGGATCTTCCAGGACTTGATCTGCAGATGGGGGACGCTCACAGAAATCGTGTCAGACAACGGCGCACCGTTTGTGAAGGCATTGGCGTACCTGGAAGCTAAGTATCACATCCGTCATGTGCGCATTTCGGGATACAACTCGCGCGCAAATGGGCTGATTGAAAATCCACATTTCGACATCCGCGAGGCGCTCTTCAAGGCTGTAGATGGGGAGCAGAAGAACTGGAGTTCTGCTGCTTATTCGGTCTTCTGGGCGGACCGTTGATAGGCTGGCTACCAGACGCGCTCTGCACCAGCTCTGTAAGGGCGTATTTTTGCGCTTTTTACAGAGTTTACTCTTGAACCACTCGGTGTATCGTGTCGCGGTTAACAGTGTTGCGCTCAGTAGGACTTATGGGTCTACTGCCCAGTCGACGACTGTGGATAGTGTCGACGATAGCAAGGCAGTCAGACCACTACTGTGGAACTGGTCTTACGAGTCTACACCAGGCTCAGGGCCATTAGTGACGAACGCTTGGACCGCGACCATTCCCCAAAAAGGGATATGTCGTTGCGTCGACTTCTCAAAAAGGGTCATTCTCTGCAGATGGGAACTTGGGCTGAAGGGCTGAGCAATGCGCGACGTTCTCAATAATAGAACTACTACTGGACAGGACTTGGCGTTACAAGACTTAAACCATCTTGTCGCGGCAACTCCCGGTTTTGAGTTGGACGTTTCCTCAGATCATGCCACGACGACGACTTGTCACATGTCAGGATCCATTCGATCACGGGACATTGTGGACGCGTCGCGGTGACACTTCCAAGTGTCACGGCGAGTCGCGCCCATACTCAAACACACTAAAATCGATACGGCTAGATCCGTGAACCGAGCCATGTGGGAGACGATTGGCGTGCCTAGAGCCATACGGCTTCTTGGGGCGCCCACGTTGGTCTCACATGCCAAGACATACCCGTTGGCCAATCCAGCACGTCGTATTCCAAAAGTATGACGCGGTGAGTTGGCCCACATCAAAAGTATCATATGGACAATGGGGCGGGGTCCTGATCACTCAGGACCTGTCCGATCGTTCAACTTTTCAATTACCCTAAAAGGCAACCGATCTTAGATAGCGTAGCTACTATGCAGTTGTACAGGACTTTACTAAGCAGCGTCGTAGACAGTATAAGTAGCACGTCGTCTCTTTGTATTAGGAAGCTTTCCCCCGGACTGTGAATCACTCTCATTTCAGATTGTTTTGTACAATTTGCGTGCCGCGTGATTCCACCCTAAGAAGTTCTGCTACCCCTGCCCGGTCGCGACGAGTTGCTCCCTGAGCACTTGTAGCTACTGTGATTTGAGTTTGAGTTGAGACATCAGAAAGTCGGATTCGCCGCATCTGGTTTAGTCGCGGCATTTAGTGTCGTCGCCTTCGGGCTTTGTTGAGATCGTTCCACACCTCTAGCTTGGCAGTGCGTCGACTAGTTGTGCTCGGGTTGTTTTGGTCAGTTGACAGTGCGTCGACTTGAGAACTTTGGTTCCACACTTCTTGCTTGGCAGTGCGTCGACAAGTTGTGCTCGGGTTTTGGACATTGGATATTGGCTGTTAGTTGGCAGTGCGTCGACGCGGCATTTTGGTTTTACTAGTTGGCAGTGCGTCGACTCAGTATATTGGTTGTATCGGTTGGCAGTGCGTCGACTTGATATTTGGGCTTTGCGTCACCATCTAGACGCTGTCGCTACAAGGGATCTTAATACTTCGTATTAAG